GCGGAGCCTCTCGGCGGCGGCAGGAAGGGGGCGCGGGACGGGGCGGGGCGCACCTGGAGCCGTCGGGCGCTGCACTCCCGGAGGGTGGGTGGGCGGCCGGCCGGGCTGTGGCTGCGAGGGGGAGTGATAGGTGGACCTCCCAATGGGGCGGTCGGAGGGCGGGCCAGGTAGTTTGTAGAATCTTCTATTTGGTTTTGTTTCTAATCTTGACTAGAGTCAGGTCAGGCATTTCAGGCAGGGTTATCACAGAAGTGATGCGGTGTTTTACTCCACGCCTCATACCACGTGACACAATTTCAGCTACTCGATTTATTTTATTGCCTATGATGTTCACTTTAAGATGATGTCTATGCTTCTCACTGTAAAGTTACACTTTTCCTTTGTAATTATAAAGTATTATATATAGAGAGAGGTAGTTTAAAACTACATAAATCATCTTTCATCTAACGTTTTATAATTTTATTTTTTATATCATATGGACTCATGGTTTCCTGTTTTATTCGTTGGGCTATAATACGCTGCTGTCATTTATTCTAATGCTCAAATTGTCCCAGATTTGGCCAGTGGAAGCCCATTCAGGCCTTCTTTTGGGTCCATTTGACATTGTCCTGTTGTTACATGAACACTTTCTTTTTTTTCTTGCACAAGATGTTCCAGGCTCATCTTACACTTTATCCCTTCTCCAAGGAGTCCTGGTTCTTTATAGTGAGAACAGTTATTTAGAAACCAAGATCTGGATGCTAGGTGTGCTCGTTGCTTTTGAAGTGTTGCTGCTTTCATGCCCTCTCAGTGGATATTTCCATAGACAGAGTGACAGATTGTTATCTAGATTTGGACATATAGAAACAGATAACTCCAGGTCCAATCCAAAACCACAGGATTCATTATAATTTTCTCCCTCTTCATGATTTTTGATATATATGCTGTTATCACATTTATTTCAAAAATTTTTTATTTCCATCACTAAAGTAATATTCATCAATAAAATATAAAACTACCAAAAAGAGAGGAAGATCAACCATAATTTCAGCGTAACAATACAACTACATTTTATAGATTCACTTTCAGCCTTAATGTATAGGTCTCTTTTTCTGAGTTATAAGATAACATGCTGTAAGTACAATTTTGTATCCTGTTTTCTCAATTTTGTAGGGGTAGGCAAATTACAGCCCATAGACCAAACTTGGTCCATTGCTTGTTTTTGTCCATGAACTAAAATTGATTTAAAAATTTTAAATGGTTGAAACAAAATCAAAAGAGGAATAATATTTGGTGACATGAAAATTATATGCAATTCAAATTTAAAGTATCCATAAATTAAGTTTCATTGGAGCTCAGTCATGCAAATTCATTTATATATTGTCTATGGCTGCTTTTTGCTAAAATAGCAGAGTCGAATAGTTCTAAAAAAGATCACATTGCCCAAAAAGCATAAATACTATTAGGCCTTTTTCAGAAAGTTTGTCGACCTCTGAAATATTGTATCTGAATCACCTTATAAATTAGCTATTAAATCTGTCCTTTGAAACATTATGGGAGTGACACCAATAATACTTGGCACAGTTTAGGTGCTTAATAAAGAAATTTCTTCCAAGTAATTCAGGAAGGGAAGGGACTAGGAGGAGGAAGAGGAAGAGAAAGAAGGATGATTTTTAGATATATCTCTTTTCAAGCATCTGCTGAACTTATTCCCAACCAGCAGAAAAGATGTCTTCTCACTAGTCATTAAAAAGAAATATGTCTTTCATCAATCTTTCATGGCTAAAATACTGGCTTCTTAAATGTCCTCTAAAAAAATTGTTTGGGGCCAAATAATCTTGTTGCTACCAAATTAGTAATATGTCTAACCTTAGCTTCACAGAAGCTTTGAATTTTTTAAATGGCTTGGTAATGAATGTGGGAAGATAGTGGGGAGCTGAAAAGACCTCTCCTACCTTTGTCTCAACCCCCAGTTGGGTTGTCTAAGCAAGAATAAATGCTGAGACACCTTCCATTTAGATCTCTTTGGCTAAAGGACAGTCACGGGTTTATTATGTATATC